AAGATAAGCCCAATAAATGAACACGAGTATACTCAAACTCGTCGTTCAACTCGGCAAGAAACTGAAACACTCGATTCTTCTCCATAATCCTTGCATATAAAACTGCATCATCTGGATCCTTCCAAGAGTGGAAGGAATCATAATATGACATCTCTTCCCAAATAGCATGAAGCTTTGTGATGTAAGCTGAAACTTTCAAGTCACCCTAAGAAATCCTGGTGATATCTCACCCCAGCTGGAAAATCCGTGCATTGTTTTGCCTCTAAGAATAAGTGCGTTGAACTGAATCCCAAATCTGCTTAGCAGTCTTCATAAACATATAGCAAATAACTATGTTTGGTTGCATGGAATTGACTAGCCAAGACATAACTATAGCGTTATCTGCAAACCACTATGGATATGCCTTCTCTGACTCAACTGGCTCTTTCCCAGAGCCAGTAATATAGCCAATCTTGTCTTTGCCACCAATGAACATCTTGGCAGACTTTGCCCAAATCAAATAGTTGGAACCATCCAACTTCACTGTGGTGATTTGAAGTCCTGGATTTTCTGATGAGTTGGTGGGAAAAATAGCACCACCACCCACAGAGCTTGAGCCAAGAGAATTAACAATCGAGGACCCTGAATCTGCCATAATCCGTCACACGACAATAAAAAAACTCCAAAAACACCACAAATTCTGTTAATAAATCAAAGGGTCTCCTCAAAGCATAAACAATAACAATGTCTCCTCATACCATAAACAAAAACACCACAAATTAATAATTTTTTTTTTTACCTAAGCCCTTCTAGATGTTGGAAACCAACTATCCCAATTTACCCAACCCTAGAAGAGTGAAATAGAAATTGCAAAACTTAAAAATACCTATCACAAAACAGCAACACATAAAACATATGTGTAGGCAACGTCACACGATGTCACAAATAGCCTAAGGTGGTTGTCGCACAAGTGGCAAGGCTGTTGAAAGGTGTGGAAAGGTGTTAGCTTTAATACCAAGTAGAAAGATAAAAAGAAGAAAAAGGAGAGAATTGTGTAAAGGCTTGAATAAGATGAATCACTCATTCAAAGCTCTAGTATTTATAGGTAAAAAGAGCACATGCTCATATTACAAGAAAGGAAACTAAATCAAATCTAAATTAAATCAAAACATATTCTATAGCATAATCAAATCTCTGCTATTATGGTAAGTCATTCCATAAATTGTGGCTATCATATATGCTAACAGCATGCATATACACAAGCAAGTGCATTAGATGCCACAAGGGTACAACGGCTACACTGTGTGATCTAAGGGGTTAAAGCTTCTGGGCAACCATACTTTGAAATTCAATGGTTCAGATTACTCCAATTAAAGGATACAAAGTGTGTGGCTGTGCTCCCGCCTCTAAAACGGCTGCATGTGCTATATAATTATATATTTGTTCATCTGTGTAAATGGGTTTTGTGGTCTGACGAGCAAACAAAGAGAAATTGTGAGAGAGAGAACATTAAGCTTAAAGAAAAATTCATACACCAAGAGCTTCAATGATCCATCTATAAGTGCATCCTCTTCACTTCTCTCTCATCATCAATGGCCCATTTGATCGGTAAAGCTTAGACTAGAAATTTCCGAAACCGGCGACACACCAAAGCTTCAACCAGAGTCCAAACAGTTCCAGCCAAACTGCTCCGGCACTCCAGTTCAGGTGATCATCATTCCAACGAGCTCCAGTTCAGTTAAGTTGACAAACAACTACGGCGAGCCTCAAGAACAGTTCCTCCAACACCAGAAAGATTCTTCACCGTGAGACCTAGAAGCTTAGTTCCAGTTCGCTTCAGTCGATGCAAGATTCGGTGTGCACTACGGCAAGTTTCCAAAGACCAATAAAACTAAAATCCATATGAGCACAACTTCAGTCCGGTGAAATTTCAGACTAGTGAAGAGCTGCAGACCCAACAGTCCGGCGAGCCACATTCAGACCCAATAGCTTAGGTGAGTGCAGAGCTCTGACCAGCATGAACTCAGATCATCATTGAAGATGTGTGGAACCGTATAGAAATCTCAATCCAAAAAGGTCCAATTCTTTGATTGAAACAGTGAGTTGTATCCTTATTGAGAGCTATATATGTGTGTGTGTGTGTGTGTGTGTGTGTGTGTAGTGAGTCATAGAAGGTGTTGACCGGTCAATGTGGATGAGTGCACTTTGTAGAAGGTGTATGTATGGTCTCTGAGGATGTTTTGATTATTGAAGAAGTGTGGGTCAAGCTTTTGACAGTGTGGGCATCAATGAAGAACTGAGATTCCTATCTATATTTCCAAAAGTGAGCAAAAATCAAGGTTTTGAGTTTACATGGTTCAATTGGATAGCTTCAGCGAAGACAGTGAGCATCATTGAAGATTGAGAACAGTTTTGTCACTGTTCATCAAGTAAGGCAGTGAAGTTTACTTTCAACTTTTATTTGTACTGCAACTCTTATTTTGTAAAACTTGAAAGACACCATTTATTTATATTTATTTGTGAGTGGATTTGTGAGCACTTGATTCAAGCATGGGGATGCTGTGAACAGGGGGAATGCTTGAGTTATTGTTGTGAGATTGATAAGTGGTCCAAGCACAGGAGTGCTATGGACATGGGACAGTGCAAGAGCGACTTGTATGTGAGATTGAGAATTGGTGTACATTAATTCATTCATAGTGGATTTTGAGTTGGGCTTCACAACCTTAAGGATGTTTCCCCCACATTGGGGATTTTACCTCGCTATATTTGGTGTCCTACAATCTTAACATTTCATTTGAGCTTCTATCATTGTGCATTAAGATAACAAGTTGGAAAAATCTCAAAAGATACCAATTCACCCCACTCTTGGTATCTTCAAATAGGCAAGAGTAGAGAAAAATAACTAACTTTCTATCTCATTTTGGTTGTTTGCATTCCTACTTTGCCCAAGTTTATGATTAGGGTTGAGAGGAAGAAAGGAGATATATAAGAGAGATTCAGTTTGGTCGTCTACATTCCAACTTTGGCTAAGTTTATTATTAGGGTTGAGAGGAAGAAAGGAGATATATAAGAGAGATTCAATGCAGAATGAAATAGAAAGTTAGTTCTTTCTCTCCACTTTACCTATTTATCTTTTCAGGAGGCTTGTAATTACAAAAGTACCCTTATCTACAACATCCACTCCGATTTAAACATATTCTCATGTATTCTAACAAACATCTCATGAATATAGGTTAAAAAGAGAGACGGGAAGCAGCTTAACAATGATCACTACTAAATAGAGAGTTAATTCTTTCTCTCTACTCCTGCCTATTTATATTTTCAGAAGGCTTGTAATTACAGAAGTAGCCTCGTCTAGAACATCCGCTCTGACAGACACATATTCTCATGTATTCTAACAGATATCATGTCTCGTGAATATAGGTTAAAAAGAGAAACTGGCAGCAGTTTAAACATAATCACTAGTAATAAATTATCTAGTCCAAAAGAAAGGATTGCTCAAGTCACACAACAACCTGTTCTGTGGACTAACTAAAATGTTGATGCACTAACCTTATGTGAACAATTTCATGTGATCTTGAACGTTGTGATTGGCTAGGAATTTTAAATTTTCTTTTATTAGTGTGACTTGGTCATAGAGATGTTGTTTCTTGCTGGGCATTTGTGCTCACTCCCATAAGTATACTTCTACAATTAAGCTATGGTGTTATGCTATGGTTAGGTGGGACAGATAATCAGGACTTGGATGATTTCCATAAAAAGAGGTGAATACATCTGTGAATTATATGGTAGATATTATCTGATGTAGCACTTTTCGGTTGTAATGCTACTAATGTAAGGGGTAGTCATTATAATGATTGGGTATGCAGTATTTAATGTGTGGAAATGGATAGGTTGAGTGAAATTTGATGTAAACTCAATCCTAGACCTTCCAAATGTGACCGTTTGTTTCTCCATACCTGAGACAAGTGTTGGGATAACGCCCTAATATCAAGGGCCTCAAGAGGGGTGTGACAACTAACTTTAGGTTGTTTTTTTTTTTTTTTTTTTTTTTTTTTTTTTTTTTGATAAGTAACTAACTTTAGGTTGTTTTTAAACAAGGTGCACATATTTCACCTAACCTTACAAAAGAAAAACATATTTTGACAAAGGTTGTTTTGGGCAATGTAGCATTATTCCATACAGTAATATATATTTGTATTCTTATGCTTTCTTTTGTCCCAAGGCAAAAGCTCTGTATCATGTACATCTCGTAATGATATGATAAAAAAATTTAACAGAGTCTATAAAAGCTGAAATACTTAATAAAACAATTCATGCTCTGTCATAGTTACGATAAAAATCCATACAGATTTTTCATAGTATAATATATATAAAGCCATAAACACCACTAATCAATAATAATCAATTGAGGTAATATCTGTAAGGTCATTAAGGCATGTGTAGCGGCAGGTTAATGGATGAATAAATAGGAGATAGGAGACTCCTATTGGGGCGACAAAATTCTCCATTATTAGCACTCTTTTTTGTTGGGTTTTGGGGAGGAATTGTAATTCCACAGGGGAGATTGTTGATATGTTGGACTCTTTGAGAGTTTAGAGGCCTTATTTGGTCTTTTGTAGCTTTTGAGGGACACATTCCCCTTTTGAACACTTTTTTATACAATCTTACGTATCAAAAAAAAAGGTTAACGGATAAATTTTGCTTGGACAACTTATAATTGATCCAAAAAGACAAAGTTACTTGTGATTTTCTTACTAGATCTATCATGCTTATAAGCACTGTGAATAGAGTATTCTTCATCACATATTTAAGCCGACAATCAGGCTCCAGCCTATTTGATTTATCGAATTATCATGCTTTTTCATTTTTTTAATTGTAAAATAAAACTAAGTATCAACAAGATTTTAAAACTGAAATCTCTTTAACCATATTACTAATAAGAAAAGGATTTTAAAACCAGCTGTTAACTGCCATATAGCATATAAGAAGGAGAAGGGAAGGAGAATGTCATCGAAAACCTGACAAATTAATGTAAGGAACAATTTCTCTGTATCGTGCAAGAGCTTCCTCGAATCCACCACAAGATCGTTGATCAGGGTAAAAACTGAACACGTACTGATCATGTGTTGATGCTACAAAGAAACAAGTATTTAGGCAACAGACACAAGGGCACTATCTCTACTAAAATTACTATCATGTATGTAGACTAACCGTCACCAAATCCAAAACAAGGAATCAAGTTGTCTTCATCAAAAGGAGACAAAGTTTGACCAATTATGGAGATGGCTTGCTCGTATGGGTTAGGTGTGTCACAGATTGCATGAAGGCTTTTCCTCTTGAATGAATACTTGCCTACAAAGGTAAAAAGTGTCATGTAATCATCTCAATTTATTAGAATTTACAAATCGAACAATAGCTAGACAAAACAAATCACCTGTCCACTCATTGCTCTTCGTGAAGTCAATACCAAGTATTAAATTAGATGATTCAAGGCCAGCTTCTCTCAATGCAGAGACAACCTGGAATAAGAGTAACAAATTGTGTTTTTACCTAAATGCACAACTACAGCATGAACCAGACTACCCAGAAAAATATCCTTAGGAAAGGGTAATAAAAGCAAATTACAAGATGAGGTACTACAACTATTTGTTAGAATGTATATATTGTATTTTGTATTTCTACAAGGGCATGTTGATCATTCTACTATATACCAATTATTATTATTATTATTATTATTATTATATGCAAGTGAGAAAAGGTTAATTTGTCTCTCACACACAAATATTTCCACATTCACCTGTCTCCATCTCCCTATACTCTTCAAACCTTAATCTAAACATGATATTAGAGCAGGCAAGCTCCTGAGTTCAAACCTCACCCCCCACATGTGAGTGATGTGTTGGAGGATTTAAATATTTAAGTTACACCCTCTTTAACACCATAGGCTTTTAGAGGAGATGGTGATTAACACTAATAAACACAAGGACGGAAATATATATGTATACCAAACTCAACAAAGCATTTTCCTTCAATAATATATACATATATATATGTGCATGCCAACACAAAGAAAATTTTCTCTTTGGTACACATGACAATACCCGCGTTTATTGGTTATCTATGTTCAATCAATTTTATAGCTGATATCTTTGTTGTCCATGGTATTAATATTTTCCTCAAAAAAAAAAAGGTATTCACTACTCTTTGTTTGAAATAGTTAAACAGTAGGATTTAGAATATTAAAACAAGATGACATTCCTGTAGTCATGACACTACCTCCTTTTATTGTTTGTACGTGTTTCATCCATTTTAAACTCCTTCCGTGTCGTGCTTAGTACCTTATATTCACACAGCCGGTCCAAAGCCCGGATAACGAGGAGGGTAGCTTCACAGCTAGCGGAAAACTTTTGTCAAAACTGACATGAACATGAATCCTAAGAATATAAGAGTAAATGTTCGGGTGCTACGCTTAAGATATGTGTTTGATTAGCTTCCGAATGCTTGTAACATATGGTTCACTAAGAATCATAGAGCAGGATGGAAAAATAGAATTTATGAAGCCGACTCCAAGTAGTTGGGAGAAAAGGCCTTGTTAGTTGTTGATGCATTTCATCCCTTTGATATCCTGGCAATTTGTTCACACACATGAGAATTTTTCCTAGCAATTTGTTTCCTTTGCCGACTTCATATAGAAAAGCATCATAGAAGTTCTTAAAACCACATAATTCTATGTCCTAAAGCCTCATGAATGGTTCGAGTTTGACATTAGAAGAAACCAATAACTTCACATATTCCTCGCATTCATCTAAGGAATATAAAATTTACATCTTTTGCATGCATAAGTTTCTATTTCGCAAGATTGTGGTTGAAACTTATCCCCAATATCTTTCATTTCATGAGTGATGTGGTTATATTCTGCTTCATGGTATCCAAGGTCGTGACAAGCAATGAGCAATGAGAACCAGCAAACTTTTATAATCAAAATCAACTTCATATAAAACAATTGACAGAAAATTATGGAATAACTAAAACCTCATCCAAGGAATTGAAATTATCAGCTATGTACGTGGATTGCTGCTTTCTTTGATACTTTGGATCCATTGAACTTCCTGCATATGAAGTTGATTCATAAGTATCACTGTATCCTGATTCAGCGTTTCCCATAATCTAGAGGTGCTTCTTACTTTAATCACCAAAATACCTGCAAAGAGAGTGGAAAACACACGTCATATCTCTATACTATGCCTTAATTGAAAAGGGGAACATGTTCCCAATGAAGATCTGTTTGCTTATGTGGCAAGAGGTGGACTGGGAAATTATTAAAAGAAATGTGTGTGCTTGTTACTAGGCTGTTTAACCATTGAGATTTTATGATTGTTACTCTTTTTTATAAAATTTAAATAGTATGAGCTGAATCAAGCGGACTAAATTTTTTATACTCTGGTTTTGTGGAATATTTTGATAGAAAGAAACTTTAGATTTCATTAAGGACAGAGGAAATCTGCTTCCCAGATTGCCATAGAGGGTTGTTTGAAAGGGACTCTATATGTGGGAGTGACACTCTATGACCTTGAGTCTGTTTCCCTTTTATTGTTCAGTGTTTGTTTTGTAATTTTGGTTTTGGCTTTGCCATTTCCAGTTTTGTAATAGTGGAAGTATGTAAGTGCTTTCACTCTCTCTTGTACCATTTTTTTTTTTCCCTGAATGGGGTATAATTTTATTTTAAATAATCAGATAAGTACAAAGAATGAACAAGGCATACCTCCTTTAACAAAAGATAGAAATGTAAAAGGCCCATTTCCAGTAAGTGCCAAAAGAACAAGGAAAATTGAAAAGAAATTTGTACACACAAATTTTTGTATCCGGAAATTCAGGAACGAAAATAAATGCAACAAACAATAATTTTATTAATAATATCATAAACTAAATGAGTACAGTTCTCTGTTGGCGATTCTATTACAATCTAGAATCTCCCTCTGATTGAATCTCCTTGGAACGTCGGCAAAAGGGCTTCGGAAGCTTGATCTTGGGCCAGTGGTTGAACTGTATTTGAGTTCTTCAAAATTGAAGAAAAACTCAAATGGATTTCTGAACGAGGGCCGGTGAGGGTTTATCTTGAACGGTGAGTTGAAGGCCTTTGATGAAGAATGGTGTGGTGCAGGTGTGGCACGCTTCTTGTTCTTCGTCTTCAAAAACCTTCGGAATTTTTGTTGAGTCAGAGTTTCGGCAGAGCTTCGGTGTTTTGTTCGTCTCTCTATCTGTGTGTTTTTCTGTCCTTGTAACTAGACAGGACACAAACAGTACGAACTCCAAAAAGAAAACTACAAAGCAAAATGCAGATCCAATCTATCGCTAGTGACCTCAATCTGGGATGCAAATCCTTTTGGAGCCACCAATGACGACCTCAATCTGCCATTTACACCTTCAGCAGGAACTCACATATTACTTGGGTACATGAAAACCTTGACTCTAGCTCCCATTGATTTAGGAGGGAGATTAGACTTGAATTTAGCTCGAACAACCCCAGTGTTACCATGAGGCCTAGTCACCTTGCCCCAAATGCATCGGTAGTGTGACCCATCCTTCACCTTAGCCTTATAGATGTAAGCCATGCGCTTCCGGAGGTACCATGACACCTCCTCCTTCGTGTTCACACCCTCGATCTGAACCAACAACGTGCTTGGGTACTGATTCGACTTCAACCTCTTGTAACCTAGAACAGTTCCTCTGACGTAGAGTCTGACACGCTCTCCTTGGCGTCCCTTCACCATTTTTGCTGGAGGGTTGTGTTCATCCATGATAATCGTTTCTGCTACAGAGTCTCGATCAGGGAAGAGGTATCGCTAGAGCTCGTTCCCACAACGGAAAGTTTAGAAGGCAGTGATGGGGCTCATCTCATGACAGAGGAAGAGCGGATCGGAATTCTCGGCAAAGGGGAGGAAGGGGCTTGTGAATTCAAGAGTGGCTGAAGGAAAGGGAAATCCAGAGAGCAGTGCGATATGCGTGGGAGGAAGACGAAGGGATAGTCACGTGCCGGACAGGAGCGTTCAAAAGGAAAGGGGGAAGGTTACATGTGGAGCATGTCGATTCGCTCAGACAGATCGCACAACCTTATCTTCAGCTATATTGAAAAGGTCATCCGAGTGCTATAGGGTTGGTGATAGTAAGTGGGTGTCACGTGACTGCTCTGCAGAATCCAAATGGGCTGGGGAAGGTGGTAGGTTGGGCCGGAAGTTTATAGGGCGGGCTCAACTTGAGCCCATGTTGAGGAGGAAGACGGCGCAAATGCATGCTAGTGGGCGGACGGATAAGAGGAGTGATGGGGAGGGCTACAGGGATGGGCTTACTCATGTGGGCCGTAAAGAACGATTGTATGGTATAGCCAAGTTCAATGGGCCAAGTTCTGGGGGTGTGGGTGTGGAGGCGTATGGGCTGGCTGAGGCTAATGGTTTAGGGCCTTTGGGGGATGTGCGCAATGCTGGGCTTGATGAGGTCCATGTAGGGCATAACATGACTAGCCTTGACCAATAGGGGAGCAATTTTAGGGCTGTAACCAAAGTATCAGAAGGAGTCTTTACATTGCAGGGCTCCTCACAACGTGATTACAAGGCAGGGCGTGAAGGACAAGAGGCGAGAGGTGAGATTTCAGGCGACTTTTTCCAACCACTCCGTGATATAAAGGTTCGTAGCTGGTCGAAAGGCAAAAGATGGTCGCGTTCTCATCAGCAAAAATGGATTGTAGCTGGAGACGGTAGTCCAAGTATGTCCTCTGTTTTCCCGGCACGCTCCTCTATCTCTACCCATGCTTCTTCTTCTTCTACTCCTTCTTCTGGGGTGGTGAGGATAGTGGGTGAGAGGGAGGGAGGGGGGAGGCAGCCGTTTGTTCAGAGGCTTGCGCCGGTGCTTGAAATGGATGGAGAAGGGAGTGGTTCAGATAGTTTAATCAGGGATGATGGAGGGTATGACCACACAATGGATGAAAGGGGGTTGATCAAGCTGTTGCCGAGTATAACTGAACAAGGGAGTACTCTTCTTTGTGGGGGGGTGCAAGTGTTTGTTGACTAGTGATGGAGGATCTGTTGATCTTTTGCGTTCAGAGGCAAGTGTTTGCAGTGAGAATGATGATCTAAGTGACAGAGAGTTTGATGTGAATAATACTTATCCTATATGGGACATTGGGGATGGGGGTGGAGAGAGCACGGTGGGTTTCTATACTCCTTTGGCAATGATAAAAGATGCTCAGAGACCCTCAGTTCTAGATGATTAGAAAATAACTAGTTTATGAAGGGTATCGAGGAGGAAAGCAAAATTCAGGGGCTGACGCCGGAAGGTGAAGATAAGAAAGTTAAGGAGTTATTCCAAGTGGTGGAGGATGAATGGGTGAGGAAGAAGGAGAAGGGCTTGTCAATTTTGAAATGGGTGAGAGAGCTGAAAGGTCTGTTTTCATAAGTTAACTATGAGGGAAGGGGTGGAGGAGGGAGAGTGAAGAGGAGTGGGGGGAGGAGGGGGAGTGGAAGAATCAACGTCTGTTAATGAAGCTCAATATTGTGTCTTGGAACGTTCGGGGACTAAATGACCCGAGAAAGAGGAAGGTGGTAAAGGCGTTGATTCAGAATTGGAGTGCATGTGGTTTTCTTACAGGAAGTGGAGGAGGCTACAATTATGAAGAGTTTGTGGGGCGGTCGATTTGTGGACTGGGAGGTTATTGATGCGGAGACTGCTGGGGGTATTGCTGTCCTTTGAGACAGGAGGTGGGTTTCAAAGGCTGATGTTTGGAAAGGGAGGCATTCACTATCAGTATTATTTAAGATTGAGGAAGATGGTTCGCAGTGGTGTTTTTCGGGGGTCAATGGGCTTGTTGGTGATGTGGAGCGTAGAGAGTTGTGGGAGGAGCTGGGAAGCATTAGAAGCAGATGGATGGTTCCATGGTGTGTTGGGGGGGACTTTAATGTTGTTCTTAACACGAGTGAGAGATCTTCTAGGGGAGCGTAAGATGGAGCAATGGCCGATTTTTCTGATTTTGTGGAAGCTAATAGATTGTTGGATCTTCCCATGGTGGGAGGCGAATACATTTGGTCGAGTGGGCGTGATCCTCCTTTTTCTCGACTGGATAGATTCTTCTTTCAGTGGAGATGGAGGAGAAGTTTCCAGATGTGTCTCAAGAGGTGTATGCGCGGGCAATCTCTGATCATGTTCCTATTTTGCTTGATTGTGGAGGGATTAGAAGAGGAAGATCTCCATTTAGATTTGAAAACATGTGGCTACGAGTGGGAGATTTCAAAGATAGGGTCATGAACTGGTGGTGTGCTTATGATGTTAAGGGTAATCCAAGTTTTCAATTGGCATCAAAGTTGCGACGCTTAAACGGAGACATCAAGGTCTAGAATAAGGAAGTGTTTGGCAAGCTGAAATGGCGGCAAAATCAGCTCCTTATGGAAATTTCAGAGCTCGACGGGAAGGAAGGTGCTAAGGGCAATTCTGTATTGGAGAGGAGTATAAGGGAGTAGTGTAAGGCTGGGTTTGAAGAGACTGTAATGATGGAGGAAGTTTCGTGGAGACAGAAGTCTAAAGCCCTGTGGCTTAAAGAAGGTGATCGGAATACTAAATTCTTTCATTGCTTAACTAACACGCATAGAAGAGGTAATATAAGGTTTGATGGAGTTATGGCTGAAACTGAAGAGGAGATCCGGACAAGCTTTGTGTTATATTACCAAGATTTGTTCACATAGTCTGCCTCTTGGAGACCGCGATTAGATGATATTGAATTTGATACTATTTTTGATGAGGAAAGAGTGGGTTTGGAGAGGCCATTTGAGGAAGAGGAAGTGTTGGAACTGTGACAGAGAAAAAGCTCCGAGTCCAGACGGGTTTACAATTGCGTTTTTCCACAAGAATTCGGAGGTGATGAGAATGGATGTGCTGAGAGTCATGGATGCCTTCTTTGAGGAGGGTTGTTTCGAGAAGAGTTTGAATGCCTCTTTCATTACCCTTGTACCTAAAAAGGGCGGAGCGGTTGATGCTAAGGATTTCAGACCAATTAGTTTGGTGGGCTCTGTTTATAAGAATATTTTGAAGATCCTGGCAATTAGGCTAAGGAAAGTATTGGATGGGGTCATTTCGGAGTCTCAAAATGCATTCATGGGAGGAAGTCAAATTCTTGACCCGGTTCTAATTGCCAGTGAATGTATTGATGCTAGGGTCAAGAGTGGTGAGCAGGGGATTGTGTGTAAATTGGACATTGAGAAAGCCTATGACCATGTGAATTGGGTGTTTTTATTGTATGTGTTAGAGAGGATGGGGTTAGGAATCAATTGGAGAGGGTTGATACATCAATGTATTTCGACGGTTCGTTTTTGTATTTTAGTGAATGGGTCACCAGCTGGATTTTTCACAAGTTTGAGAGGTTTATGGCAGGAGGACCCTTTGTCCCCTTTTCTCTTCATTATTGTAATGGAAGTTTTTAACAGACTCGTGAAAAGGGCAAAATTACTAGGATGTATTCAAGGTTTTGCAGTGGGGCGTACACCTAATCAAATTGTTAAATCGCATTTGCTGTTTGCTAACGATACTATTGTTTTTTGCGATGCGAGTGTGACTCAATTGAGGCATTTGAGGTGTGTATTGGCCTGTTTTCAAGTTGTCTTTGGGCTGAAGATTAACATTGGCAAGAGTTTGATTGTTCTAGTAGGGGAGGTGGACCACATTACTGATCTGGCAGCTATTTTGGGTTGCAGAGTTGAGTCTTTTCCGTTTACATATTTGGGGTTGCCATTGGGTACTTCTATGAGGAGAATTGCTGTTTGGGATCCAGTGGTGGAACGTTTCCAAAAGAGGTTATCCGGGTGGAAGAAGCAATACTTGTTGAAAGGGGGTAAACTCGCATTGTTGAAAAGCACCCTATCTAATCTTCCTACATATTTTATGTCGTCGTTTCCGATTCCTAGAACAGTAATCAGTAGACTAAACAAGATTCAGGTGAACTTTCGGGGGGGGGTGTTTGTGGGGAATTCAAGTACCATCTTGTGAAGTGGGAGAAATTGTGAAATGGGAGAAAGTATGCACACCTATTAAAAGAGGAGGTTTTGGAATTTGTAGGTTGGAAATGTTTAATAATGCTTTGTTAGGGAAATGGTTGTGGAGATTTGGGTGTCAGTGCTTTGGAGGCGAGTTGTTGCTTGTCGGTTTGGGGAAGAGGAAGGAGGCTGGATGTCTAGAGGTATGTCTTCCTCAGCAGGCATAGGATTATAGAAAGGTATTAGGAGGGGTTGGGACGAGTTCTCTAAGCGGATACGGATTAGAGTTAGGAATGGTCGTCATGTAAGGTTTTGGAAGGATTTATGGTGTGGGGATGTGGTGTTGGCTTGTCGGTTCCCTAGCCTCTTTGGGATGGTTGAGGATAAGTATGTTGTGGTGGCAGATTATTTGTGACTTGAGAATGGGAGAGCTAGTTGGGATGTGAGGTTCCGTAGATATTTCAACGATTGGGAGCTGATGAAATTTACTGAGCTAATGGGATTAATTTATAGTCAAGAGATGGAGGGGGAAGGAAGGGATTAGATGGTGCGGATGGGGGGATCTGGAGGGGTGTTTGAGGTGAGGTTGTTTTACCAAAGCCTTACAGATTCGATAAGCAATGTGTTCCCTTGGAAGTCTGTGTGGAGTACTACAGCTCCACTAAAGGTGGCTTTTTTCGCGTCGACAGCGGTGCTTGGTAGCATTCTCACTCTAGATAATCTTAGAAGAAGACGCCAAATAATAGTGAATTGGTGTTGCATGTGTAAGAAGACAGGTGAATCGGTT